CGCATTCCATTCAGCTGAGATAGGGCCTGATTAGCGTTTGTGAACGGCTGCAACTAAGTTACTATCATTGCGCTATCTGCAATCTGAAACAACCCGTAATCGACATTAACAAATGGAATGAATTCTATGGAAATTTATCACACATTGCAATGGATTTGTCGCTCTTTGCCGCCGCCATGTGATTTTTATTTATCATTATTATTATTATCGTTATTGTTGTATTTATAGATTGCCGGTTGCAGTTGCAGTTTCCGTGCTTCATTATTATTATACCCATTTGAATGGGTAAACAAATCACCGACAACTAACTAGATATCCACATGTGAGAGGGCGAATAAATTGCATTTATGCGAGCTCAATAGAAGTTATTTATTTCACAATCCGTGATTCGTGATCCGTGATTGGTGATCCGTAGACGAGGTAGTATGAAATGGTCCAAAGTTCTGGGGAAGAACCTCTTGCGGTTGCAATTTGCATATTGGTGGGAACACTTCACCTGAAAGCCGCATATGCAAAGCAATAATTATTAATTGCAAATGCAGTCGTTATTTACGATCGCTTCTAGTTTATTTGACAGTTTATGACATATTCCCCGATGAGACGCCTAACTTACTTAGCCCCACGTCTAGCACCTATGAATATTTAGCCAGAGTTCGCCTTCACAAGGGCTCGAATGATCTATGGATTTTATGGTCTGAGTCGAGCTCTCGCTTCGACTGCTAAGGTAAGCGCAGCTTGACCAAAACACGCCCACCAATTTGTCAGTTCGCCACAATGTGTGCAAATTGTTTCATTAGGCGACTTTCGGACGGCAAAAGCAATGCCAAAAAATTCCGACGAGCGCGTGGTCAGTCGCTCAGGTAATCGCCTCACGTCCAACAACAACCATATCGAATGATTCCCCCCACCAAGAAAGCCAAAATATTGGCTCTGTTGGTTAGCAGAACAATTCTGTATTATTCAATCCGTTTGCTTATTACATCGGGGCCATATAATTTTAACACAGCCATTACGGGGGCATAAAACAAATAGTTCCAGTGCATACTTGAAATTGTTGCTAATGAGTTTTAGTATCGGTTTTTTTTTTTATGTTAGCCATGCTAATTGCCAGTCTAATGGACTGAAGCCCAATTGGTTATGGAAGCCAAATGGCCAGTTGCAGGCCTGCAAATGTGGCGATTTGTCTATGCTTTCACCTTGGCTCCGCAGCATGAGCACTTTTATTTTCGGTTTTATTTTTATTTTCATTAGCATTTGCATTGCCGGTTTTAACAGACGGCTGCCACGAAAAACATGTGTCGATCGCACACGGCACATCAAAATATTATACAACATAAACAACATAATTAGCTCGATATGCAAATCGCGGAATCCGCGGCAGCGAGAAAGCGCAACCAAAAGGGCAATTTATTAAAAGCCCATCCGTCGGATGCATCTCCGATTGCAAGAGTGAAAGTTGCAGGTTGCTGGGGCAGAGGACAGAGAGCAGAGGACAGAGGGCCTAACCCCCGAGCTAATGAAGCGGACAATTTATTAATAAAATGCACATTAGCCCACGTTTATGGCCCCTCACAACACGCGGACTTGGCCGAATGAATTTTCAATTAAGCGCCAAAATCGTGGCCCCAACCGATGTAAAGTTTCCGCGGTGGAAGCTGGAAGACACCCATAGCTGTAGCTATAGCCATAGCCATAGCTCCAAACGACTAACTCCAGACTCAGACGAATCGCCGCCGATGTTTGAAAGCGAAACCGGTTGGCCAACAGCCGCTGGCTGAAAGGCAACGTCATACGCAACATTTGACCCACTTTTTGTGCAGGCGGCTAAAGTCGAAACCAAAACAAACACAGAAAATAAAAAATAAAATTAAAATTGGCAAGCCTGTCTCTGCCATCGAATGGGTAGGAAACGGTCACCAAATGCTAACACACATTTCTATAAATATTTTTATGGGGTCAACGTTGCTTGTCCAAATAAAATTGAAAATATATATTACACAAACAAGCCAAAGCATTGAAATTGATTTTAGCCTCGAGAAAAATAAATATTTAAAAACTACAATGGCTGTGTAAATAATATCGATCCAATATTTAAATATTAATTTAAGCCCATTGACCTAAAACTCAACATTTATTTAAAGGTATTAAACTTTTCAAGGGTGTTTACCGGAGATTATAGCCAGTTATTTTTCGGATCTCCATAAAATGTTTATTTATGCTTTGCCGAGATTCTTTTTAAAAGCCACACACTGCCTCAAATTTGTTTACCTCCAGTGTTAGTTGTGGAGTTTTTTAATATAGCCACGCGTTCAATTTGCTCGCGATGTATATATCATTTCCTTTAGACTTTGGGCAAACACTTCCAACTGATGCTGCTTTATCTCCTTGGACATTAACCTGTTTCAAAGGTGAATGAAAGGTTTGAAAACCAAACAAAAAAATGAATAAGAAAAAAGCAGGCAAACAATAGCAATAAATACTCTCTGCCATGGCAACAATTTCGCAATTTGATGTGTTTGCCTTTGTAGATGGCAAGCGAGAATGCGACGCTTGTGAAAATATTTATTCAAAATGTTTTCCATATATGTAGATATGGTGGGGTGTAAATGCTTTGCCACAGGGTCAGATTGCAAAAAACTAAGAGCTTTGTTTAGATTAATAATCAGTATTGGAGTTCTGCGAGCCTGGTCTTAGGCAGACCACAAAAATATATGAATTTGGTTGTTGTTGCTTCGTGCTGACAAGCAACCACAAATGCAAACATTTGTGCATACAAAAACTAATGTTCCAATCAAGAAAACTAAAGAATCTGATTGAAATTCCATAGAAAAAAAAAACATAAATTGATTTTGGGCTTGGCATGCAGAACTGCATGAAAATGCCATTTGGGATTGGGTCAAGCATGGAATGCAAATTAGTAACTGACAAACGTTCTACGCTCCAAAAGTTTAGCAATATAAAAATCAGTGCACTTGAGATTGTTATATATTGCCAGCAGAAAATGCAGTCGGTTCAACTTTTATGCTTAATTCAAGTGAAATATTTACCTCAATTGCGTTGCCAAACAAAGGCCAAATTAAATCCTATCTTCATAAAAATGTATAAAAAAGTTGGTGTGTTCCGAGAAGCCTGACTAAAAGAAAAACAAATAAAAATGCAAATAAAAGTTGTACGATTCAAAGATATGGGCGCGCTGCAAGATACTGTAGACGTGAACCCAAATCATAAAAACCCAACAGCAAAACTCCGGCGAACGAGTTAACTGCGATGCGCTAACTGTTCCTATCTTGGGCGCTGCCATCAGAGTAACATCAAAGTGCAGCAGTGGGGGTTCGGATTGGATTTGGGATTAGGAATGGGATTGGAAATGCACTGAGAAGAAATTTGAGCAATAAGAGTAAGATGTCTTTTCCACAAAGCAAGATACAATTAAAGGGAATATTTATCATTGAGAAATGTTTATGTGTTAAAATCCTTAATCCTTAGAAAAAATGTTATTGTTAAAATTATTATTGCATTTAATTAGTAGCACAGTTGTCTACAGAAAATGTATACAATGTAGATTAAGAATATGTATTCGGGTATTTAAATAAGCATATGATATGTATAATGTATTAAAATTCATATTTTATTTAAAATTTTTCAAATTGCTTATTGGGCACAATCATAAGACACTTATATTAAAAAGGAATAAAAATTGAAAAAAATTAATTTTTGTATTTACCTTAACACAATACAATAAAAATATTAATATTGTTTTATGAATGACGAGGTAGGCTTTATTCAGGTTTTAAATCATACACCGCTTTATAAGTATTTCTCAAACACTAAAAATACTACTACTCAGCCTTTTCATTAGAAATACATTTCTTATTATAAGCTGATAAAGATGCATTTTTGGCAAGATTATTCTCTGTGTAATAATGGAATTGGGACTCGGATTGTGAGCTCGCAGCAGCCAGCCTCAGCGGTTACAGATGCAGATGGAGATGCAGACAAAGATACAGATACATATAAAGTAGGTTGCTGCAGGTTTGTTTTCCTGATAAGCTCGCGCCATGAGATTAGCCTGTTTTCCCCCCGCCCATCTTCCAACAATTTGTTTTTCTTTTGCCGTCTTTGTCTGTTCTGCGTATTTGGCTGCGGTTTAATTTTATGGGCCAAAGATTTTATTTTGTAACTTAATGTTTGCTTGGCTTATAGGAGATTCGGAGCAGCAGGTTGTTGGTTTCTTCCTTTATTTTGGTACTCATCTGCTTTCAACAGAAATGCACTTAAATTCTGAGTTGTTGGGCAACAGCCATTTACATTTTATAACCCTTTTTGCGATTACACTTTAATAGTATCCATTTGTAGTGCTTACTGTGGGTACTATATGAAAAGCATTGATTAGTCAATCAACGAGTTGTTCGCCAAATTAGTTCATTGTGGCACAAATTTTGGTAATCATATGATAGTTGCTTAATTATCTCCACCTCCAACCACACAGTTACCCCTTTCCACCATCGGATTACTAAAATGCAATCAAAGCATGGTAATCTTATCGAAATTTTGATACCCGTGGGCAACCAATCGTGTAATTATGCTTAATTGGCCCAACGAATCGAGTTAACACTTTGCTGGCTAAATAAATATTTTAATTAACTATTCAAATCGTACATGCAAACGTCAGCCCATTCACCAATTAAACTTTATTTAATGAAATTAAAACGACCAACAAAAAATCAAGATAATTTTTTGAGCAGAATTAAAACTAAATAATGTTTAATTATAGGAAACTGTCTGGCGATAGAATATAGCTTCCTACTCCCACTAAAAAATCACTTAACCATAAACAAAAGCCGGTTAAAGAAATAGCTTCCGTCTGTTTTTAAAATACTTCGCATGGGTGCTTATCGAACCTCCAATAAAATTCTATCTGCAGGTTGATAAATGTCTTATCTAAAATTGAAAGTTCCCATTCACATGGGCTAAAGTTAACACTAGTTCAGTTTGAAGTCATGACTTCACCCAGACGTGTCGTCTTTTTCTTGTTCTTGGCTTTGATTTTATTTTTGTTTGTAACTCTCTTTTACAATATTAACGGCATTGAAAGAAGTCCGCCTAAAACCAGTCTCAAACATGGTTTGGATCCACTGTACGAGGAGAATAGAATACTCTGCATGATACCGTATGACTATTATAACCCTAATACTGCCAAATATGTAAAGCGCACTTGGGGCAAGCATTGCAATGTATTGCTTTTTGTGAGTGGCGATGTCGATGGTGAACTGGAACCCTATGTGCCTGTGATTAATTCCACGGATACGTGGACATTGGTCCAGCGAGGACTGATGCACGCCTATCGATTCTATGCCGACCAAGTCGACTGGTTTCTCAGGGTGGAGCCCTCTAGGTAAGATCCCCATGTTGTCTACCAGATCATAACTTTATTTGAATTGCTTGATGTAGTCATAAATTGCAGAGGCGCTCTTTGTCGCCTGCCTTTATCGCTAGAATATTGTTATGATATTCTAAACATTCGAATGCCACTCTTTTCTACACTAAAAATAAAAACGTAAAGGTTCTCACACTTACATTTATAAGCTTAGCATTGTGAATAAGAAAAATTCGATGACATAAAAAACTTTATTTAAAATATCAGGAACAAGAAAGAAAGCAAACTTCGGCAAGCCGAAGTTCATATACCCTTGCAGCTATTGCATGAATTAAATACTTTTGAAAACATTTAAATTATGATTTACTTGAGTATATGCTGAAAAACATTGAAACTATGATGATTTGCAGCTCAATTATTAGATAGTTATTTTATATATTTTTATTATTTCTATGGGAGCTATATGCTATAGACGTCCGATTTTGATAAAATTTTAACCATAATTCTGAAATAATTAAACATTGCTATATGTCGAAGAACTAAACAAAAAATTAAAAAACAGAAAAGTTATAATTTTTTTTCATTTATTTTTCCGATTGTTCCTATGGGAGCTATATGCTATAGTCGTCCGATTTTGATGAAATTTAAAACATAATTCTGATATATTTAACCATTACTATATCTCGAAGAACTAAACAAAAAATTAAAAAACAGCAAAGTTATAATTTTTTTTCATTTATTTTTCCGATTGTTCCTATGGGAGCTATATGCTATAGTCAACCGATTTTGATGAAATTTAAACCGTAAATCGGAAATATTTAACCATTACTATATGTCGAAGAATTAAACAAAAAATTAAAAAACAGCAAAGTTATAATTTTTTTTCATTTATTTTTCCGATTGTTCCTATGGGAGCTATATGCTATAGTCGTCCTATCCGGCTCGTTCCGACTTATATACTACCTGCAATAGAAAGACAACTTTTGGGAAAGTTTCATGCAGATAGCTTTAAAACTGAGAGACTAGTTTGCATATAAACGGACGGACAGACGGACAGACGGACGGACAGACGGACATGGCTAGATCGACTCTACTAGTGATGCTGATCAAGAATATATATACTTTATAGGGTCGGAAACGTCTCCTTCACTGCGTTGCAAACTTCTGACTGAAATTATAATACCCTCTGCAAGGGTATAAAAATAATAACGATTGTTTCGGAGTCTAAAAGTAAAAACAAGTTTACATTTTAAGAATATGTGCTCAAATCGATACTATACAATGGATTTTTATATTTATCGCGCCTTCATTAAAAATTTTAAAAGGTTTAAAATAACTTTTATAGAAATTCATTTTAATAAAGCGTTTACAATTTAAAATTTAAACCATTTTGTTGCATTTACAACTTTGTTTGGTTTCTCTGTTTATAGAAATATATTTCAATTTCAGTTGCATAAAGTTCAATCGATATATTATTTTTTTTTCGGTGACTTATTGTTCATTCTTGTTGTTTATTTTTATGAGCTCTGAGTTCGGTGGCCGCCTCACTCAACATATTTTGACTTCTTTCATTGATAAAGTTATCAGTCAGCCTTCGGCAGTGTTTGTTTGTGCCCGAGTTCGAGTTTGAGTTTGGTTTTTGGATGTTCCCGTTTACGTTAAGGTCTACATCCCGTTGCCAGTCGGTTCCGTTCTATTCACTCCATTGTAGATCGATTTTTCTTCGGCTTCCCTTTGTGGTTTGGCCCGCAGAGAGTTTCCTTTTTTTCGAGGAGCTGGGGAAAAATATGCCAAGGAAGTGCGAGTATCTATGGGCGATAGTTTATCTGTCTTTTGTAGGGGAACACAATGCAGTTCCCCACCCCGGTTCCCCATTTTCCTCTGTGTATATATATGTCGCTTGATTGCTCTCCAGGGGAGGTTTGCCTTCATAATTGGTACAAATTTCAGTTCGAAGTTGGAAACGAGAATTTTCCCATGGATTTTCATTCACGGTGCGGAATGCCATTAGCATAGTTCGCCTCAGATTATGCTGATAGCTTGACAAATGTATTTCTATTCAGAGCGGTCGATCACAACCCTATCCCAATGCACTCCCCATTCATATCGAATTTATGAAAAACAAACTATAAATTAGACATTTATTGACAAGCATCAAAGTGCCACTCTGTTTCGCCGACACTCATTAGTTCAAATATATTTGCAATTTGCGCTATCAATTTGTTTTGATTTTTTGCGCACTTTGCGCAAAATGCAATTCAATTAATCTATGTGCTTCTGTTTACACTCGAATGCCAAGTTAATGGCTATATAAATGTCGGAATTTTCTATATGCTCCGTCGTAAATGTTATTGATTAGGGCGCATTATCAAGCGTTTTAAATATTAAAAAAAAAATGCGTGTCAAGGGGTCAATTAAGTGTGCCGGAGTGCTGTCGATGGAAACAGTGTTTTTCTAATTTATGCCGTCATACATAATTGGAAATTTATTGGATGTGATGTCAACACTAGCCTTAGAATATTACAAAATCAATTGAATTGGAATCGGAATATTTATTCCCTGCTTAATCGTCTTTGAAATGACTTGATAACTCGACTTGGCGGATACTCGGTATGGTCGTTGGCTGGCAATTAAAAGTTTATTTCTATAGTAACAGTCATTAAAGTTGGTCGTTTTATTGACCAGCTCCAGCTTGGATACAGAATAACTTTCACACAGCCCAATGACAGCTTAACTTCTGTCTTAAAGCATACTTAATTACAAGCCTTCGTCTGATGACAAAACAAAGCGAAATTGATACATTGTGAGCCGGGATCTCGACATCTAAGTATATAGCACCTCACCTCATCGACATTATCTGCAATTACTGGTATCGTGGTCCGGTTGTTTGGCAAATAATCAACACCGCGCTTAGGTTCTTTCACATTTTGTTTTTCGAGTTTAGACAACGCTGTTTGCGTCGCCCATTTGCGGCTTGAACTTGGACTTTGTTTACCTAGCGTGTCCACGATTCATTTAAAAACGGATCTAGCCATGTTGTTCTCTCGGTTTTTCTTAGAGGTAATTGTTTGCCTTTCGTTGTACACTTATTCAAATTTTTTGAACATCCATCGACTCACGCCGAACAATTTGGCTACATAACATTCGTACATATTTGCACACGGCTTTGTATGCACAACAGATCAGTGATGGATTTTATTTTTATTGAAATGCACGACTTTGCGACGTGAATGAAGAATGAGAATTATTAGTTGGCACAAAAGAAATTTTCGCCTGACATTTAAGTGTTTTCGTACCTATCCATCCCACAGTTTTGTAGTTGTGGAGAATCTCCGATATATGATAGGCCAACGGAATTATTTACCCAGTCAACCGATCTACTTTGGCTACGAGCTCGAGAATATAGTCACGCATAAGGTGAGTTTGGTGTATAAAATTATAGTTCTTTAACTATCCAGAAATATACATATTTAGTTTTTTGTTTATTTCACCCAAATAAGCCCTTTGTCCACCACCAAAGTGGCTATGTTATCAGTCGCGAGGCCTTGAGACGGTATACAACTGCATCGAAGGATCCCGAGAATAGAGAATGCCAGCACTGGCAGGGATATGCTGAAGGACTGGATATATTTCGCTGTCTGAGCCATGTTAATGTAACCATAGTCGAAAGTCGTGATGAATTGGGTCACGAAACTTTCTCACCAATTCCAATGGACCGCCAGTTTTTGGATGGCTACAATTATATTCCTTGGCTTCATAATCTAACATATCATAAGGTCCCTGAGGTAATGATATTATTTTTAGTTATCTTTCGCTTTAATATTTTTTCTTTACATTTTTATAGACAACTGTGCCCCTATCCGAGCGCGCCATAAGTTTTCGTGTAGCATATCCGCCTCAAATGTACGGTTATTATTATTTCGTTTATGGAATGAAAATCTTTGGTGCTCCCATGCAAAACACAATTGAATTTAGACCTTAATAAAGGACTCACCTCAGGCAGCTGTCTGCGATTTTCCTTACTGATGTTTCAATTACACAGGGACCGAGGGCTTTGGTTACTTCCTAGTAATGCCAAGTAACCCACATATCATGTACTCCATCACATAATTCATTTCACATACGAGAAAAGGGGGAGGATAAACGTGTTCATCAATGAATCTGTCGACTCGCCTGGAGTCTCATTTTCCCAGTGCCCTTTGTCTGTGCAAAATTACTTCCGTTTTTCGATTTTGGTATCTTTTTTGCCCAACTGCCAAGTGTCATTGTTACATCATGTCTGTGGGGAAAGGAAATATCCGTATGAATGCAATATTGCACTTTTCCCTGCTTCCTGTAACCTTAATCATGTGTAGGCCTTGGCTTACCTGCTAGATGCCACAACTCATCTGGTAACTTGAGCACGTAAACTGAGACATTAATGTGCCACATAAGCAGAATATCGCATACCGTTCACAGGTTCCTTACTTTCTGCTTGACAGTTTCACATGAAAACCATACATAAGTTGCTCACATGTGTTTATTGAAAACTATACACAAATTTGTGGGCCTTTTGTTTTTGCAACAATGGAGGAGGCGAGCGGTTGAATAATCTTTTTTTTATATATTTTTGACAGCTATTTGTTTTGTTGAGCAGGCCAAAAATAGATACGAGTATCTATGCAAATCAGGAAACGTGTTTGAAACGAATCAAAACTTGTGGGTTTGGATTCCATGAAAAGTGTCACAACATTGCCTAGGGAAAGGGGGAACAAAAGTGCCAGATGAGGTAGGTGGCCAAGTAATCGATACTCCACTTTAAATTTGTCTAGTTTCTAGTTTAGTCAACATTTTATGAACTGACCAAACCCTTTCCGGACTTTTCGAACCACTCTGGCCGCCCCTCCACTTTCAACTGCAAAGTTTTGCATCAACTCAAAAGCCATACGCATCAATGAAAGACGATGGCGAAACGTCTTCGCAGCCGGAGTCGTCAGGTGGGTTAATAATTCTAATTGAAAAAGGCAATTTGTATGCGGCGGGCGAAGGGAAACCAAAGGCAGCACGGACAGACAAAAGCACTCAATATAATTAAATTGACGACGGACCACCCAGCGCCAATAACTCCACCATCTGCACCAGCAATTCAAGTAATAGTTTCAAAATGCCCCGACTGTTCAGTACACGGCGCCTCTTCTTTGGCGGCAAGAATAGGTTTACCCTTTGCACTGGAATTTATTTGCTACTCCTGGGCACCGCATGCTTTTTGATTATACGGCAAGTCTGTAGGGACTTCGAAACTGAAGAGGTCGCGGTTTCTGTCGCTCCACCTCCACGCATTTTCTGCATAATTAAGTCATATGCGTACCGCCACGAGCATGCCTCAATCCACATCCATCGCACTTGGGCCAAGCACTGCGATCACCACCTATTCGTCAGCGATGATGTTCATCCCTACTTGGAGCCGGCGGTGTTTCTGAATCTCCACGACAAATGGCTTCGGCTGAGGGCCCACCTGGAGTACGTCTACAAGTATCACTTCCATCAGGGGGACTGGTTCCTCTACGCCAATGATGATAAGTAATGTGGATGAGTTTTGCCCTTGGAGAGAATCTCTTTTTTAACCACCAATTGCCTTTTAAGTTTTGTGGTTGTGGAGAACCTTCGAGACATGTTGAAGTCCTACAGCCCCGATGAGCTTATCTATTTCGGCTGCAAACTGCGCACACCCAACGGTTTGGTGAGTACTTTTAAAAGCGTTAAAATAAAAACCTTACTTTATTTCTGTTTTATAAACATTTAGTAGAAAATAAATAAATTACAGATTTTAAAGTCTGATTATAAGAATATTTAACTATCCTTAGCCATGCAAGATTGTAGAGCTTTTAAAATTGTTTGAAAAAGGGGCACTTTTTATTGATACAAATGTTCGAATTAAAAAAATCTTAATTCATAAAAGCCAACAACGTAAAAAAAGTTTTTGAATCATAAAATTTGAGGTCTTAGGAGGTTAGAATTAATACATATGTTTTGATATCTTTGTAAAATTCGTGTAAATAAATTTACACCCAGAGAAAAAACATGGCAAATTCGAATATTTTTACTGTGAAATAAATACTTTCGGTACTGTTTAGCCCCGAGGAGAATTTTGTTTAAATTATTATATTTTATTATTAATTAGATTCAAAATAAAAAAAACTACATTTACAATTATTCTATTGAATAAACCAATTAAATATGTTAATAATTTAATTGCTATGATTTAGTTTATCTTAAGTATGTTTATATCTGAAAAAACAATGATTCATTCAATTATGTTAATGTTTTATGATTTATGATTTATTTAATCATTTTTAGGTCTTTATGTACGAAGCATCCGGCATTGTCCTCAGTGGAGCTGCTCTGAAGCGATTTACACTCTCTGCGCTGACCAACGAAAGCATCTGCAGCTCGAAGGAAAAGGGAAATGAGGCCACCGAGGAACTGGGTCGATGTCTCACCAATGTCAATGTGATAGCCGGCAATAGTCGAGATGAGTGGCAGGGACACCGATTCCTGCCCTTCGAATACGATGTGCATTTGGGGGGCCACTTAAACGAATCCCTCGAACTACACAAATATTTCCTGAGCCATTCATACTATCCAGTAATTGATGTAAGGCGAAAAAAGCAATTAACTTAGTTCATGATTTTATTTCATTCATAATTCAACTACTTTGCAGATGAACTTGCCGGTTTCTTTGCGATCAATTTGCTCTCACTTGAACAGCATTTACAACATTTATGACTTGTACTACTTTACATATAAAGTTCGAATGTTTGGAGTTCCATTCGATTTTGAGTCTGATCACAACAATTTATGGAATAGACAACTTTTACATGGATGATTTACTGGTGCTTTCCAGTCGACTTAGGCCTCTTAGTTTTAAATTAAAATACAATTGAAATATTTCAGGTTTGATTGCTTTAACCTAAATGAAAGAGAAGTGAAGCTTCCCTATATAACAAAATTAAAGTTAGCTTTTTATCTTTAACTATATACAAGATACGAGATAAGTTTCACCTTTGACAAGATCATGGCAAGTTTGTTTGTAAATTGACTAAAGATAACTATTAATGCGTCTTCACATTGTCCCAAAAATGTTGCAATCTGTGGTTATTTTGGTATCCAAATTTCCATTGTTGCTTGGTGTTTTTTGGGTCACAGTCTCCCGTGGTGACACCTTTTCCATCCGACTGAACCTCCAAACAAACTCTAAAGTCTTTCATTTGGCCGGAGATCACCTGACGGGTCTTCGGATCGAAGGACCAGAACTGGTTACCCTTCTGCCGGTGGCAGTGGTAGGTATAAACATCCTCTCCCTGATTGCGCACCTCCAAGCACACGAGTCCCGATTGCAATTCCCGACGATTGGTCAGGGTCCAGTGCTGCTCAAGTTTCGGGAACACACGATCTGAACTGCAAAAACCTAGTTTGGGTCGTGCAGATGCAACCTCTGTGCGCTCCAAACAGAGTTTCGTCGAGGAAAGGCTCTGTAACACTCCAGTAGCGTATTCGGCGGGGTCTATTACGGGATACAGATTCAGGAAATCGGATGCCAAATTCGTCAAAAACCATTTGAATGACTTGCAGTGAAGGCGCTTTCTGAGTTCTCGTTGCTCGGCGAGATTTCCAGTGGGAATCACAGTTAAGTGCGGCATATTGGCAAAAACCTTGTCCTTGAATTCATCCAACCACACTTCAGCAACTCGACGGTAGTTCTGAAAAAGATTTTACATTTAATCATTTACCAACATTATGAGCATACATTGCACACGGTTCAAAAACTTTTCAAAACATGCTAAATAATGGCAACTAAATCAAAAAAAGAAAAGAAACCAAGAATAATCCCTGGCTTATAATACACCCAGAAAAATAAACCATAGTAAATAAAACATTAAAATATTTAAATGTTACATTGTTTTTCAAAAAATAAAATATATATAAATTATTAACATATTTAATTGGTATAACCAACAGGAAAATTTTTTAATTTAAGACTACAATTTTCCATACTTTAAAATGAAAATTAAAGTGTATTTAAACACAAAAAGTGGAAATATTTCGTTCTACCATGATTTTTCTCTGGGTGTATATAATATTAATTCTTACCCTTTGTATAAGTTTCCTCTCACTAGCTTTGTCCTTATCGGTATAGCGAATCTGGAAATTGGCCGATCTGTAGAGGTGGCCGATCCTGGAGCAGGGTACCTCGAGAATCTGACCTCCACACAGCCACAACTTAAGACTCAGCTCGAACTGCTCGCCTCCCCAGATTTTCAGTCCCTTGTCATAGCCACCGAGGTCGGCGAACCACTGACGTCCGATGGCAAAAAGGCCTCCATTCATGATGGGATTCTTGTGCGGAGCCGGCATGGCCACCGCCTCCTCCTTGAGCAGCGGCAGCTGTATGTAATCGAATTGCCAGTTGAAGAAGCCCCTCGATGGCTTGCCCCTTCTGTAGGCAAAGTTCTCATAATCAATGGTGTCTATGATCGGTGTGGTGCAGGTCCTGTTGTCCTTCAAAATGGGAGCCAACAGTGGCTCCAGCCAGCCGTGCGTTACCTCCACGTGGGCGTCCAGAAAGACCAGGACATCGGCCAGGGCCCGGTTGGCGCCGAAGACTCTAGCCTGCATCAGACCCACCTGCGTGGAGATCCTATGGTGCTTCACCATGTTGAGGAACTTGATCTGCAGGAAGTCGTTGAGCTTCTCGTTCACCTGGCTGCTGCCATCGTCCACCAGGATTATCTCCCTGAGCAGCAGGATGGGCGTCCGACTCCTCAGGCTGCTCAGCGTTCGCAGCAGCACGCTGGCCTCCTCGTTGTGATACGTTATCACCACACTGACCGACGGGAGCTTTTCCAGCGGGTACCCGAGCTTTTTACAGCTGTCGAAAGATCGTACAAGTCAGAGAGAGAGTCTTATAACATCGCCAGTGATGCCGGTGTAGCTTTTCTATAGTAGTTGCGTCTAACTCTGATTAACTTCTTTTGTTAAATCTTAAAATATTTTTTTTTATGTATTTTAATTTTTTAAACGTTGTGTATGGTTAGAGTTGAAACTACAAAACCAATTTGGGCAACCTATCCCCTAACCCTTATTATTGAAAACTAACTAATGTAACTTTTTTTTACAAATTAATTTAATTTATAATGAATTGTATTTTTTTTAAATAACCCAATTCCAGCACGACGAGTCGTTAAGTACATTCGTTTTTCATAAAATAGGCAATCGAGATTATCAGTGTTGACATCGCTAGCATATTCAGCCCAATCGTACATATAGCTGGAACCAGTTAGGAACTAAAAGTCTTTTAGGTCGGATCTTGAGATTTAATTCAAGCCTATACTTGAAAACTAAAATAAAGGCAAATCGCAAAAACAAGCCAATCTTTAAAATAAATATATTTCCTAGATTTAATCAACTTTAAAATTTATCCGAAACAAGGAATCCACTCAACTATTTATAAATTTCTGAATAACTGTCTTCTTCTAGGCATAGATTTCATTTAAATAAATTTTGATTCACTCAAATTTGAATTTTCGTTCCTGCTTTTGTCCCTCTCTGAAGCATTGGCATCACTGAAACTCTCTCTTATACTGCCAACAATAAACTCGCTCAGTATGCTCTCGTACTAAGAGGGACAAAATCAAAGCTCGTTCTCAACCCACTCACCTGCGATGCCGCATGTCGTAAAGAGTTCGCTCCGGTGAGATGCGCTTGGAGAGCCAGGCATTGTAACCCGTTTCCCGCTGGCTATTCGCGATGGCCTCCAGTTCCTCATTGGTCCAATTGCCCCTCGCCGGACGACCCAAAGCCCCGAGTTCGGGAATGACCTCCGATTCGAAAACCGCCTGCAGATCGCTTATCTCACGCTCCAGACGCGACGTCGTCGAAGACACAATTCCATCGCGCTCCCTTTCCAATTTCAGCGTATACAGGTAGTAACAGATACTGCCACTGGCCATCAGCAGTAGCAGCAGCAACAGCTTCTTCTTTTGCCTCAACATGTCCAGGCACATCGTATCACAGAAACAAAAAAAACACAGTCGTCCGGAACGGAAAGCCAAAACTTTCGGCTTAAACCGCGCAGCGTTTTGGCCAAGACTGAAGCTGGCCAGCTGAGAGTGTGACGAGTGCGCTCTTCTACGCCAGTAATCCCATCTTATACGCTGCGAAAGTTTTCGATTCGGTGGCTCAATGAACAAATCAGAGGCGGGCTTATTTAAATTACGAGGGCTGAGATTGGCTTAAGGGCACACAAAGAAATGCAGAAGTTAAATAAATAAATAACATAAATAAATATTTTTTAAATAGCTTTTAAAGTCAATTGTCAATCTTTCAATTAGGTTAACAAATTTTATATATATTTATTTTATATATATTTTATGATATATTTTTTTTATTCTTAAATAAACATATCTTAGTAATAATAAAATAACACAATTAATAATATGAGCCCAAGTTTTATGAATCCCCCAAGAAGTTCGTAAGTCTTCTACTCTATCGAATGAATTCGTTTTACTTAAACCTCATTTAAATAGAATTTAAAACATTTTTTGGAAACACATTTTTAGTCGTTTACTGAGAATGAAAGTAATTAGAATGAAAGCACTCCGCATTAAAACTCTGTGCACCTGTGCGATCTTCGGCCTAGTATACTGTTCTATTTCGATTTCTATCTGGCTGATGTATACGGATAATCTATCAGACGCGACAGTGGATTTTGAGTACTTTGCAATACAAAATCTGGGCGATCAGGGAAAAGATGCCCATTTGCAAATGACGAAAAAAGACCTCATGGTGGCTGAGCAAAAGTTCGCTTTATATCAATTCAATGCTTGGCTCTCCGAAAGAATTCCGCTGAACCGAACTCTGGGGGACTATAGGGATGCGGGGTAAGTAGTCTATTATTTTAGATATCATACGCTTCTCTGCAATGGATGCCCTTCCTCAGATGTCGCAACATCAGCTATAGTTCGGAGAGAAAAGTCACAGCTAGTATTATTATAGCAAATCAACAGGAACATCCACAAACTCTGCTGAGAACAATTAACAGCATTAATGCGCAATCCTCATCAAATATAGACTATGAGATAATACTGGTCTATGATGGAATGGCCGATATAGATGTGTTTAGGTATATTGCCTCCAACTTTCCTATGGTAATACAACTTAAAGTTGAGAATTCAAAGGGACTCATACACGCTCGTTTGGCTGGAGCTAGAAAAGCCACTGGTAATGTTCTCGTATTTCTCAATTCCCACATGGAGGTCACAAGAGGTTGGCTTTCGCCGTTACTGGAACCCATCTTCTTTAACAAAAGAGCAGTCACTCAGCCCGTTATGGATGGCATATCCAGCGAAACCTTTGGCTACCAACGAATGCCAGAGCCTGAGCAAATGGCATTCGACTGGCAGTTGGAGCGAATCTGGTTGCCCCTGGATATGTACTCACTGAAGAATCTACCAAAACCATTCGCATCCTCTCTACTGGAGGGACGTGTTTTCGCCATAGATAGCAATTGGTTCCGGCATCTTGGCGGATGGGATGATGGCCTCAGGAACACTGGTGGCGATGCCCTCGAACTCAGCCTCAAAGTGTGGCAGTGTGGCGGTCGCATCCTCACGATTCCCTGTTCTCGAGTGGGACTCATCTATAAACGGGATGAGACAATGGCTCAGACTGCTCCGAATAGAAACCACAATAAACAAGTCCGAAAAGTAGGTGAACATATCTTAAGTTGTCGTTCTTCTTGAAGGATTACCTTTTATTTTAATCTTACAGCTAGAGTTTGGTACATCCTTTTTCGTTAAATTATCTTGTACTGTATCAACCGTTGAAAGCTTTTTATTTATTACCTTGTCTATTTACTTTTTACTTTTATATTTCTCGCTTTAAATACTTGCCTCCTATACTATTTTTTTTCTAATTAACCATTTTCACTTAATTAAATTGAATGTAAAACGGTGGTGCTATTTACTGAGAATTACACTGGCTTACAAATTTAAATCGACAAAGTCCTTAAGAGATTTTATTTACCCTTGTAGTTGGCCTCCTTGAATCAGAAACTGACACTCAAAATGATTTGTATGTTACCAATTGTTTTAAGTGTAATTTACTGAAATATTTATTTTATTTAAAATATTGTTTTTTTTTTACTTATATTGCAGAATTTCAAACGGGTTGTGGACGTCTGGTTCGACGAGTATAAGCTTCATTTTTATCGGTATAATCCAAGGCTGCGAAATCTGTCATCTGAATCATTGGATGGACCGCGAGATCTGCGTCGTCGCCTAAATTGCAAATCATTTGGATGGTACAGAAGCCAAGTGGCGCCTCCATACAGGAACCATTATCTTCATGCAGGACTTTCCAACTATGCGGTCGGTAAAATAATACCCTTTGTGGCACCAAACTATTGCCTAGCTATTAGAGCAGGAATTCCAATCATGAGGAAATGCAATTCCACAAAATATGAGGACTGGACATTGACGTCTCGCTGCCAACTGAAACATGGTCAAATGTGTCTGGATGTGGACTCCAAAAATAACGTGAAGGTGTCGAAGTGCACTAAAAAGATACCGGACCATCCCTGGCAGTACGATTACCAGCACAGGTCCTTTGTCAGCATTGGAAACAAGTGTCTGCAAATCGGTTATAAAACGGTTGAACTTAGTTTAAGAGCTTGTGATGATAATGTGACACAGCAACGTTGGATGTTCACTGGGGTGACGGACACATCATTAGATCACACGATGGAAGTGTGTTTAAGTATTAAAGATTAGATTTTCTATTAATTCTCTTTTCTTTAATTCTCGTAAACTTCAAAATTAAATTCTTACCCAAACTTACAAAAATTTTATTGTGCATAAAATGAAGTAGTCTTCATTATTTTTTAGATTGCTTAAAATATAGGGATCAGAACACAAAAAAAAGTTTCAATTTTAAAATTAATTTTAGTAAATAACGATATCGTTTTACCCTTTTTACTACAACTAAGTATGTTGAATTTTAATAATTATAAATTCTTATAACCTTATTTCCGTTTAGCTTAAGACCAGTTGGAAATTTGCAGGTATCGAGAGGTAGCGCTTGTATAGTTATTGATGGCACTGATACCTTTTAAATAATAATTATTATACATCTATAACAACATTTCCCTTAATAAATCTAGCCTTAAGTATTTTCTGATAGCATGACACTTGGATTTTGATTATCAAGCAACCACCTCTGTTTTCTGTTTGATTTGTTGCAAAGGCTAAGGAAAATGTTTAGTTTTTCTCCCAATTCAAGACACCTTGTATTGCTCACCAGATGATTATTGACCGCATCGTAGTGCCAACTCTGTCGGCCTCCAAGACCGTGGCAGAAATCGTATCCCAATTTAAAATTGAGTTGCACTTCTGCACAAATATTTGCGCCCACTCGGAGATCATTGATGTAGGTTAGGGTCCAGTTCTTTAGAGTATTATTTGCACTGCATGGCTCCAGAGTGATAAATTTACTTCCTGCATTAATTGACAGACAGCTTTTAGGAAATTCTAGAGATTTTACATAACCTGTGGCATAATCCGAACGATCTTTTGGTTTTATCTGTTTTAGTTCCGGCATAACTTCGCTAACAAACGATTGAAAGGATTGACAGTCATATTGTTGGTACAATTTCCGAGATTCACTTAAATCGCCAACAGAAACATTTAAGAGTTGGGGTTGGTATTTATAGATTTCTGATTTAAGAACAGGGTTATCTATCCACAGCTCCACAATGCGTTTGAGGTTCTGAAAAAAACGTTTAGGTGGTATTTCATAAAAATTCATAAGCTATGCAATCATACCCTTGAGACTTGCTGACCCATTTTGCCGAGGTCACCATATCGCTTTAGATAGCTTTGATCCTTGGGCTCCAAGTGACCTACTCTGGAGCAGGGAACTTGAACTATGCGTCCACCACTTCGCCAGACTTTAAAACTAAGTTCCAGCTCGGCGCCGCCAAAACCTTGTAGTTCCTTATCGAAATTCGACAGATCCTGAAACCAAAGTGCTCGAATGGCAAACACGGAAGTCCGTACGGCAGCCACTTCATAAGGATTTGGAAGGAGTATCCTTCTTGCCTTCGAAAGCGGAACTTCTCGTCGTCGCAAACTCCAGTCGTATACTCCACGCCTCTCTATTGATCGATGGTAGGCCAAAGTTTGCTCATCAAGTTTGTCCAAAACGGGAGTGGCCAGGGTCAAACTTTGCTCCGAAATCGTGCTAAGTAATGGACTTAACCAGCCTTTGGTGAACTCTACCTGGGCATCCACGAAAACCAGATTGTCCGCCTTGGCTTCGTTGCAGGCCAAAATGCGAGCTTTGATCAAGCCCACTGGTTTCTGCATGTGTAATATTCGTGCTGCTGGATGGATATATCTGCGCACATAGGTGTCGAAAAAGGTGACCGACAATGGTTCATTCCAGAAGTCCGTATCACTATGATCGTCCACTAGAATAAGCTCAGCATATAGATGCTTAGGAGTCCTGTCCACCAAACTGTGTAATGTTCTCAGCAGAACTACGAGTTGCTCGTTCCGGTAGATCAAAATTATGCTGGCTGGTCTCATTCCGTCGGAATCCTCGTCGTAGCTGAAATTTAGGCAACGGGGATCTCGAAAGTCCGGCAGTGAACGCCTCAGAGGTATTTTCTCCGCCAACCAAGCATTATAAGCAAAACGCTGCCAACCCTGCGTATACGCAACGAATTCCGAAGTTGGTACACTTAAATACGAGGCAGTTCCGTTTTCTCCCAGTCCCAGATGAGAAAGAGGTCCCATCAGTCCATCCCAACGGCTTAGATCTCTGTGCAGGAGTAAGATCATCAGCAGAATCCACAGGGGTAAGACCGCATATTTCAACCAGGTGTAGTTTAACACAGTTGCTAAAACATCCATGTCCAAGTAGACACTGATCGCTTCATAAACAAATTAGAATATTTCCTTTGGAATGGTTCATGGATATCTTGAGGCGTAACAAATTCATTGTTCCAGTGTTCCAACCTGAACCAGAAAAAAGAATCACTGAACTGAAGAGCTCACTGAAAAAAAAAGCTTGTTTTTGGATACATTCAAGAAAATAGAGTACCAGGAATAACCAATTATTAAAGGGTATTTATTTTGAATATAATAGATGAACAGATTATTTTGGTGAATATTTGCTCTGCTTGACTTTCTCATATGACCACTGGTCCGATTGAAATCGATGTTTTTATACTGTTGTGTTCCAAAAACACGGTCTCAACAGCACTGCTAACTTAAAAAAAATAGCAAAAATCATTAAATCAAAGAAATATAAATGTTTCAAACAAATGATAAATATATAAAAAAAAAATATGATGTATGTTTTATATGTTTTTGTATCATTATATCTTATTCCATTGAACCAAATATTTCGGATTCGGTAACTCCATATTCTTCCAAAAACCTCTCGGTTAATTTATCAATCTTATTCCTATTCTCAGGACTTAGCTCATCCTTGTACGAGCCGACAATTCCACGCCGCATAAAACTAAAGATACAATATGATTAATTAATCAAATAGTGATCTAGATAATTACTTACTTAAAATCATCCTTGGTTTTTCGGAGAGTTGACAACAAGCCAGTGCTGTTTCCAAACTTCCTTCCTAAAAACCAAATTTTATTTGAATCTTTAAATTTCCTAAAATTGTACGCAATATACAAACCTTTCATGTTTTTAAAGTTCAAGTGCGTAAGCAGTTTATCCATTTCACTTTCGCTTAGTTCTTTGCAGTCCAAAAACCGCGATAATCTCTGAACCACATCTTTGAGATTTCGACTCATTTCCTCGTAGGTAACGAAGAAAACGTTCTCTTCATTGCGCATCCTATAGAAGTCGATAACGTGAGCCCAGTATGAGGTAAAAGCCATCTTATCAGCAACGAAGTCATCCACGAATTCGTCCAAGCTGCCACGCCAAAAATCGAGGCCAGTCAGAAAGTGAAAGGACGAGACCACAACATCCTTAGGATTTCGGGCCAAGTAAATAATTTTGCAACCCTTCTTCCAGAATTGCGGGGGCAAAAGTTGTGCAGGCAAATGCGATTTGATAAATCGAGGATTAGTTTGAATATCATTGCACAGCGATATGTAATCCACCCCATCAGAGTATATAGCTGATTTCCTTCAAATTAATAAGTAAAACAAGAGTAAAAGTTGCCAAATAAATATGCACCCAGTAAGCCTTTGGATTTTATGTGGCTCCATCTGCCGGTGGAGCGCCGGAAGAGTGCTGGCAGAGTACAACAAGAACAGCTTATAAACTCTCACGACACACACACGTTTCCCCGTGCAAATTGCACACATGATTTAAGTGCAAAATTTTTAAATATGAAGTAACGTAGACAGACAGACTTTCGCGATTTGTAGGTTTAGTGTGTGCTTTTATAGTTTCCGATATATAGACGTACAAACGAACGGATAGAAAGGCGACTTATATATTCCCTTTTACACCACGAGTAACGAATACAATCAAATAAAATGTAAATGCCAATAGGAATGATTAATGAATTGTAAAAATTAGATGTCCATACTTTCTTTCCAAATGATTTGTGACCAACAAGCACTTTATTTAACTTACTCTAAGTATGGACTTCGTATCATTGTATAACTGCTTTGAGCTGCTTCAAAATTCATGTTATTAAGCAAAAGCCAAGCCAATTCCTGCATCCACGTAGTCCCCGACTTCATAAAAGTAACCAAAAAAACATCGCTGTCTCGCGTATTGAAGTCATAAATCCGCTGCGAAAACTCCTCAGTAAATCGATCGGGAAGTGTGCACCATCGGCTGCTCCAATCCTGTTTGAGGGGCAACCACTCAGGACCTGAACCATTGGGTCCTTTGCACTGCACCTGAATTAAGGGCACGGATGCCGAGGATTTAATCGATCTTCTGGCGTACATCTGGTCTTCTAGCGGTCTTTTTTACCAATGCCGGTACCATTATTAAGAACCAAAAAGTTGGGCCCTATCTTGACGTAGCTGTAATTTGATAAGATTGAAAAATAAACAAATAAAATTATAGAAAGATAATGCACTATATAAGGTATACAAACAAGTGGCGCAACGTAGCACATCTCGAGCAGGCCCTTCTGGTAGGCATATATAAGTTTATATAGACTAGCGACATTTCATATGAGTAGCAATTAAATTCCATGAACTTGGCTTACTTTCAAGTTATCTTACAATTTCTCACTTATAAAACGATTAAATTTTAGTTTTCGGAACAGAAGTGAAGGTTGAAGTACAATTTTGATTATGTAGATTAATTTGAGGTACATCTTGGCTAGTTAAGAACATGTGAATTGTTTGGTCTTAAAGACACATTAAAAGCTAACAGGCTATTAATTAGGCGTGCTTCTACAAGAAAATTCTGAGTACAGGTGTTCGATTGGTATTATCTCTGAAAACAATCAATATAAGACGGCAAGACTAGTATCGACTGCAAAAAGTTGTAGGACAAGAAAAGTTTATTATCATCGATACCTACGATAGTATCGAACGTTATTCAGAACTGAGTATTAATAAAAACGTGTCTAAATTCATAAATTATTTTATTTAACGCTGATTAACAAAGCAAATTATCTTGAATTCGTATTCACATCATCATTGTCATATAACGTTTCGCCATGGTGTGCAGGCCCACTGTCTCACTACTTTTATGACTTAAATTCTAAAGTGCAAATAGCCCTTAAACAAGGAGTTTATAAGCTATAATATAAAAGTTATCTATTATAAAATCTTATCTTGTTTTGGCAAGATCTACATGCAAAAAAAAAAAAAACATTACAACATTCAAAACTAAGTAAAAGAAAGCTAACTTTGATATACTGATATTATTTATACCAAATTAAAACAGTTTGGTGGGTTAACATTTTAAAACTTACGTTAATATCTCGTTTATTTTAACAAAAAATTAAACACTTTAAATTGAAAAAAATAATATAAATGAATACAGTTCTAAATAGTGTTGTATGATTAGTTTTTGTTGTTAAAATTATATTTTTATTAACAAAGTTGCCGTTTCGGAAAGCAAGAACAACATCTTCCTAAATCCGACATTTTCCCCACCCATTTATTCAGCTGAACCGCAGCCACTAGAGAATTCCCACCCCACACACCTGCCACATACGTGGGCATTATGCATCCATCATTACTCATGCCATAAACGGAATCCACTTAATCTCGCAACGAAACATCCAAACATTTATTAAAGACATCGCACGTCGAGGGTTGCCCGCCTTTTCCTGCAGATCTTTTCTCCCAATTCTCGAAGACATTCAGGCAAAAACTGCAACAAAAGGTACAATTTATAGTTCGACACCCTTGCCGGATAAGGCCAACCCCCAAGATTTGGGGGAGGGGAGGGGAGCGCACGCCAAGGACATTGGGTGGGTGGTGAAAATGAATTTGCTGCCGCCCCAAAATTTGGCAAAGACCTTGAAAAAAAAATGAAACGAGAAAGCAAGAAAGTGGGGGGCTGGAGGTGAGTGATAGAACTTTAAGCTCAAACGCCCGGCCGTATGCAATGAATATTTACGACGAGGTCCTCTGAGGATTACATTGTCGGGCTTTCGGCCTGGGGCTTTATGCAATTGTGCGCAAGTAAAAATCTAATTTATCCACCCACCACCACCCAGCAGCGCTTTGTTTGACAATTGCCTGAAATGATGGCAATGCATTGGCATGAGTTCGGATCTGCCGGCACGTAATTCATTCGGGGGAATTCCCCCACAAGGCGGGCTGGAAAAATCGCTCCGCTTACGCATATCAATGCACCCTTTTCGGGCTACTGAAATTAAAGTCCGAGGATTTGGGGTGGCTTTCCCAAGATCTCAGGGTGGGTGGCTGCTGGATGGGTGGTGGTGTGGTGTTTTGGTGGCTCTGTGGGTTTTGAAGGTCCCAATCCTCATCATAACACCACATGTTCCGAAATTCAACGGCGACGTGGCGTCTACTTCATGTAGATTTCTATCTATTCTATTGTCTGACTTTGTCGCGTGTTAAATTTCGGCATTCATTTCGTTTGATGAGGCGCAAAGTTGTGGAATTTATTGCGTACGGGAAAGAAGTTAAGTGGATTTTACGTAAATTAATGAGTTTGCCATGGGGGTTGATGGCAGCCCGATGCCATTTAAATTGCAATACTTTAGGTTGGTCATGGGTTAAGGAATGCTGGTAGTGGCAATGATTGCATAGGATCGCTAAACGGATCGTCCGAGGATCCCACTGCAGTTATTGCTCTGCTGATTTATGCGCCAAATAATAAACATCAACTGAATGCCGTAAAACATTAAGAGCGCCATCAGTTGGACATTCTGCTGTCTCCAGTGGTTGTACACAGAAAAAAAATTTTTCAACTGGCAATTGGCAGTAACTTTAGAAAATATTTTAATTCAAAATCTGCACATATTTTGAAATATATATTAAATGTTTCGAATTATAAAACAAATTATTAATAATAAAGTAAAATTAAAAATTTATTTAAATTTATGTTTTATAGCAAATTTGATTGATTTGGCATACCAAGAACACATTTAAAAAAAAAACCCAGCTTAAAGTCAACCTTAATTTTAAGTGCTCACTTTTTCTTTTGTGTAACCATCATAGTGGACATACAAAGCACCCACAATAAATTTCACTTATCAAAGTTTTCGCTAGCCGGCGGAGACCAAAATCGAGCAAAGGAAAGACGCGATGAGGGCCATTCGAAAACGGCTGAAAAGAAACCACGACGACGACTAACTTTATTGCACAGCCCCCAGATACAGATACAGATACTCGTCCTCGACGCACAGGAGGCGAAAGGCAAAGGCGACAGACGACAGGCGACGCAGGGCTGCGGGAAAATTAAATGTCTTTTGTCAACAGACGTTTGCGAAAGGAACACTAAAAAAGGAGTCGGCGGTTGGAGGAGCAGGAGCAGGACTAGGAGCAGGAGCAGGATCTGGCCGAAGACAACGGAAAGCGAACGGACAATGACGCACTTTTCGGCCAGAAGTTTGCCCACTCTGATATGCATTAAAAGCGCTTCGGAGGAGGGTGATGCCCGATGGGCGATGGTCGATGGTAGGGTGGGCGATGGTCGATGCTATAGCTATGGAGAACTCCAATGGAGCGAAGAGCAATCTCACTGTGCAAACTGGCATCATAATGGGCCACTTATCATGGCAATCACTCAGCAGTCAGTCGGTGAGTTCGCATCTGCACAGAGAAGAATACCTCTTAAGTTGGCTATCGATTTGAAATTTATTGGCAACGAAATCTGTTTTCTATCTTTAAGGCGAAAAAATTAAATGAATTTCTAGGAATATTTGTTAAGACAATGGCAATGCTTAAATTTTTTAAAGGGCTTGCTTTTAGAACTTAACGACAGATTTTATAAATTTGTTAGGTTTTATAAATGAAGACTATAATTTCAAAAGATCAGACAAATGTATTTTGGTAAGAGTTTATCTTAAATTTATCTGTGGAAAGCGTTTATCATTAGCTAATCTTTATATTTATAAATCGCAATATCAAGTCAATGGGCATGGTTTTGTTATTTTAATTATTATTCAATATTGAAGAGAATTCATTCACTTTTAATGGAAAACAAAAGAATTAGAAGAAGAAGAATTACAAATAAATATTTTTTTCTCTGCTTGAGCACAAAGTGCAACTCCAGCGTTATGTTCATGAACACCCCAGAGTTTCGCTAGCAACTTTGCTTTACTACTTTCCGATACTCAATCGTCGTTTGCCTTTTAATACTTTGGGCAAACACATTAAATGGAAATTTCGTGCAAGACGACCAACACCATCGTCCTTTGGCTCAACTGAAGAATAGTTTGTCCTGGGGGCAGAGCTTTTCGGACTGATTTTCCGAAAGTGTGGGTGGTGAGCCCATGCAAAGTGCCGGCATTTTTGGCAAACAGCAAACGCATTTTTCATGTGACATTTGCACAAAAAAAAAAAAGAAAGCAAAACAAACTTTCGCCCAAGCGTAGGACTTTCAGCCGACTGTTTGATCTCTTCACATTGCATTGCCTTCCAGAGTTTTTTTATTTCTCCCCCATTTCCCCATTTTTGCCGGCCTGGGAAATCCTTGCGTCAATATGCCCGAAAAACAGTTTGGACATTTTTTCTCGTTTCGAGTGTTTTATAAATAAAAGTTCGCTTTTTCTCACTCCGCCTCGATGGCTCTGAGGAAAAAATTTCTGTGTGTTTACTTTGAAAATTGCTGTGATTCGGGCCAGTTCGTTTGCATTCCTTGGAAGCAGGACCAAAAAGGGAGGAACTGAAGTGGCGTCTCTTAAGGGGGTTTAAAATTGAATGATTGTTGAATTAGCAGATTAAAATTATTCGCCCTGAGGAGACTTCCCATAATGAGAATTTTCAGTGTGCCTGCGGTTAGAATTAATAGCAATTTAAATATAAATCAAATACATAATTTTTTCACATCATCATCAATAAAATCAGTTGGTTTAATATAATAATCCTTTGTAAAAAAAAAGTTGGCTTTAAAAAAGCTCATTTTTTTAAAATATATATTCCATTGCATAATCTTGAACCTATAAAAACAAAATTCACAATCACATTATACATTTCAAAATAAAAAAAAATGTAATTTATTACAAAAACGAGTCATTGTTAAAACATAATCATTGATGTACAAACCTCAGCTAAAGTGAAAAAATAACACTTATAAATGAAATCAGATCTAATTTTGGACCCAAACAAAACTAGAAATAAATTGAAATTCAAGTTCAAATTGTGTTTGTCGCATTTGTATCTGCATAGGCATATGTACATATATGTATCTGCTAAGGCATTTGTATATGTATCTGCATATTTGTATATACAACTGAAGCTGCAGCTCAGGACCCGTCTTTCGGCATCTAAGAGTGCCTAATTAATTGTCAAACATTGCGCGCTATGTGACGT